TGTAGAATATCTTGTTATCTTCTCTCTAAATTTCTCAAATCAAAATATCAAATCTCTCCCCCAAACTTGAATGAAATTATATGAAGCACATAAGGGAAGAATAGAATTTCAATAAAAGTAAAATAGAGATGACTTACAAAACATCATTGGAAAGATGACAATTCTTGGTATAGATCTCGAACCATATTCTTCGCCATGTAAATCTCTCCAAGTAATGTTCTGCAAGGAAGAAAAACAAAATATCAAACAAACCAAAAATATACTAACTAAAAAAAATAAAAAATAAAGCAGTAAACATTGGGTTGCCTCCCAAGAAGCGCTAAGTTTAACGTCTTCAGCCAGACGAGAATGTCTATTAGGGAACTCGAAATAATGATTTTGATGATCTTTTCATCCTTTTAATTTTGACTTTCTCCCAGTAAGGACTCAATCCAAAAGAGAGCATCATGGTCCCGTAATAATCACCAAGTTTACCATCACAATATCTCTCAAATTTCAGGATGAAGATTTCAACCTCTTCATCATATGGAATGACAAATTCAATTTTTAAACATTCAGAATTAAAGAATTCTTCTTGAACCACCCCTTCAGTGAGAATAACTTTTGGGGATATTTCAAAGATGACATCCTTCTCTTCTTCATGTTCTTCGGCAACGATAGAAATTTCTGGCGCACTATCTAACGACAAAAAGCATGGAGGAATGTAATCGAGCTCTTCTTGCGATATAGGAGGTAAACCAGAGAAAGGACAATTCCCTGGTGTATGTGGCAACATCAAACCACATTCATCACACCCAATGCCACTTTCCTCGAGTTCTTTCCTACGACGCTTGGACTTCAACTCAACCCTTTTAAGTTCTTCTAACTGATAGAAGAAACACTCCTCAAACCACTTTTTATCTTCTTCCGAGTATTTGGGATCATTGCGCCAGTCATAGTCTACCGCATCCTCATCCATCATAAAAAAAATAAAAAAAAAATGTTAGCAAGAAATACAAAAAATATCTAAATTAAAACCAACACTACCTATCATAATATTGATATAAATAATTATATTGGTCCCTGGCAACGGCGCCAAAAACTTGTTCGCCAATATTTTTAAAGCTCGACCGCAAGTGTACGGGTTCACTCGTAGTATGTGGCAAGCAAGGTCATATTCCAAGAGACCAACTAATTAATATATCAAGTACAAGATTATGATAGTGTCAACTTTATTTAGACGACCGAATATGAGATTGATTAACTAAACTAAGAAAATAAATGAAAGGAAATAAAGCAAAAATAAATAACTAGCTAGATCAACACGTGAGAAAATATATCGGAACGATAGATTCTAAGGCGTTGGGTTCAATTAATAGTTAGGATTCCTTCAAAGATATCACAATTAAATGTTTCTTTATCTACCCTATAAGATGATCACAACTTTAGCATATCGTCCACATATATTAGCGTCTCCACTCAACACATGCAATTCAACTCCATAAAGATTAAAA